CCCAATATTCCATTGACAGTGCCCTTCCTGGCCCACGACGACTTCACTAAGCACTGCCAGCTGTGGCTTCGTACCACCATCCAGCAGCACAAGCAGTTCACCATCCCCCTCCACCTTCCCTCCCACAGACTGAGAGAAGCCGCACACAAAACCCTCCGTTCCCACCTGCATAACCACCGCACATGGGAGGACACCCTCCACTCCCCGCCAGATCCAGCAGACCTCCCCTGCGCATGCGATCACCTTCGCACCCTCTTGCAGGATCCCGATACCCCCACCATCAACGGCCACTACATTCTTACACTGGACCAACTCCAACTCCCTACACACCTCGGCATTTTCCTCAACGCCAATATGAACAGCACCTACTACCCAAGCAAAGCCCGATACTTCCTCATATTCAAGACGGCCTACACAAAATGGCTCAAACTACAAGGGCTTCCGCCATCCCTCGTTCAGCATTTGCAGCCATTCCTTGAGCACCAATGGCGCCTCCACAACACACACCTCAAGCAGCAACCCCGTTTTACGGCTCGCCTGCTTCGCCAACTCCAAGAACATCTTGGCAAACACACATTACTTCACCATGCCGACCATGAGCTCCAACAACTCCGGCTGTTTTGCCCTCGCCAATATTTCACTGGCGCCTTGAACACCTGGCAATCCCCCGAACTTTTCGAACCACTTCCCTACATCACTGCCGCCAATATCCACGATCACCTGGCCGCCACGGTCCCCCCCATTTTGCGCACTCGCTACAAGTGGGGCTTCCGAAAAGACTTCAACATTCCATACGGCGTTGTCCACCTCAAGGAGAAGAAGCACTGGCAAAAAGGCCGTACGATTATCTCATACTTCCAATCACTCAGTGGCAACTTGCTCCGTATCACCAGCCGTGCCCTTGACATCATCCTCCAACATCTCTACCCTCAACATCCCGGCCAAATGTCCATTCCCCAGCTTTGGCACCACTTTCACAGCTACCTCACCCAAACACCACCAGACATCTCACTACATGCCACCAACGATGACCTGGTCGGCTTCTTCAACTCAGTCCCACAGCACCGACTCATCGATGCAGTTCACTCCCTCGTCCACCACTGGCAACAACAGCAACCCACACACACCTTGACGGTGGATGTCCAGGCCACCGGCAATCCATTCCACCACTCACACATTGGCAGACACCATCGGAAACACCCTACCCAACGCACCATCCAGACTTCCGACATTACCACCATCGTGGCTTTTGCCCTCAACACATGCATTTTCCGGGCTTGCAACAATACTTACAAACAAATCCGAGGGGCCGGGATTGGATCCCAGCTCTCTCCAGCCCTATGCAATGTTGCCATCACCCTCATTGAGCACTCCTGGCATCAGATCCACAACAACCTCCTTCAACACACAGACCTCCACTTTACTTACTATCGATATGTCGACAACCGCTTCATTGTCCACAACGAACATTTCCTTCAACACCCGGCTATCCAAACCCTCATCCACCACAATTTCTTTGGCGATCCAGTGGAACTCGAACCGGTGGAGGATTTTCATCTCCCCGGTTTCAACATCGACCTCCCACAACGCACCATCACCTACATGCAACCTTCCCAACCCTGGAAAATCCGGGACTCCACCACCGCCGGGAGCCAGCGCTTGGCTCTGTCAGGCCTCCAATCACGACTCCACACAATTCGAAAATACACATTTCCACCTTCTAGCGCTGAAGCTGCTGCGGCTGAACTCGTGAACCTATATGTCCAAAAGGGGCATAACTATCACGCCTGCCACCGATTTTTGAAAAAGCGCCGAACGCGGCGACTTGTGTGTGTCCACCCCTGGACGGGTTTTCCGCCACCACCTTTCGCAAGCAGGGGGATCAGGGACGTTTGGCCTGGCCTGATCCAACGAAGCTCCAGCCATTCGTCAGGATATTCTCGAGGGACGCCTTGAGAACGTACCTGCAAAGTGCTACACAAGCTGTTACCCTCCTTTTCCGCTTTTTGATTCATGGTGGTTTCGCATGATACCTTCCCGCAAACCTTTCTTCTTCCCCAGCAGCTGCGCCGCCATCTTGATCGTCTCGCAACCGTTTGAGTGAACAATGTTCAACAATACTTCTCAGCGGACTCTTTCGCCTTACCGTTCCATCACCTTCCTTCCCATCGTGAACTTGCATTAACGGAATACAAGTGTCAGAGTGTGTCCATCCCTGGACAAAGGGTTTCGTCCAACTAATCCACTGGTCACCTTTACCACCGTTCAGTTCCACAGCAGGGGGGGCAGAGAGGACTTGCAAGGCTCTGCCCAACGAAGCTCTTTGCAAGATCCTAGGAAGCGGAAGCTGATCACTTCCGTGTACCTGCTCGTTCTTTCACAAGCTGTTACTCCACTTTTCCACTTTTTGTTTCATGGTTCTTCACGATTTCCACCCCATAAACATTCGTCCCCAGCAGCTGAGCAGCCGGTTCGCTTTCCGCCGCTTGCGAGTGCCAACATTGTTCAACAATACTGTTTCAGCTGATCTTTCCACCTTGCTGTTCCATCACCTTCCTTCCCATCGGGAAATTGAGTTAACTGAATACAAGTGTCAGAGTGTGTTTCGCTCAGCCGTCCCACTCGGGTGCTGAGTGTGATCCCCGTCACAGGGGCGCAGTTTTTCACGCCGGTAAGCAACCAACCCAACATGCCACCTCTCACCGGATTTCCACTGGAAGTCATGGACACGCCCTTTGAATCAACAGCTTCATTGGCCGCCGGGCCTAAACACGGTTACTTACTTTTTGACGGCTAAGTATTCACATGCATGTGCTGCTAAGTATTCACAGGCCGGCTTTCTGCATGTTTTGCCTTTTTGACTTGACGGCTAAGTATCCACATGCATGTGCTGCTAAGTATTCACAGGCCGGACGAATTCATCATGCATTCCCCTCTCTACCCCCAGGCCTCCGGGAAACAGAAGGAAATCGCACTCAACACACTTGTGTGTTGGTGCCTTTCCTTCTGTTTCTCCTAGCCTATTGCTAGCTACCCGGGCGGTTTAAGACGAATGTCCCGCTCGCGTTCTACTTTCATTTAACTAAGTGGGCTTCGTAACTACTCCTATCTTTCTTTCTTGCCCTCTTAGTCTGCTTTTGTTTTGTTTGCTTTCTCTGTCTTTCTAAGGCTTTTTAGGTGGCTATTAGTTTTGACAAAGCACGCCCTCCACGGTTTATTTGAAAAAAGCGCCGAAGCCGGCGACCTGTGTGTGTCCATCCCTGGACAAAGGGTTTCGTCCAACTAATCCACTGGTCACCTTTACCACCGTTCAGTTCCACAGCAGGGGGGCAGAGAGGACTTGCAAGGCTCTGCCCAACGAAGCTCTTTGCAAGATCCTAGGAAGCGGAAGCTGATCACTTCCGTGTACCTGCTCGTTCTTTCACAAGCTGTTACTCCACTTTTCCACTTTTTGTTTCATGGTTCTTCACGATTTCCACCCCATAAACATTCGTCCCCAGCAGCTGAGCAGCCGGTTCGCTTTCCGCCGCTTGCGAGTGCCAACATTGTTCAACAATACTGTTTCAGCTGATCTTTCCACCTTGCTGTTCCATCACCTTATCGGGAAATTGAGTTAACTGAATACAAGTGTCAGAGTGTGTGTTGGGGGGTAAATCAGTGGCAGTGTAATCAATGAAACCACACCATCAATCCAAGAGCGGCACACAAACTGCATCAAACTAGCATCAAACTGTGCAAACACATCCCACCAGACAGACAGGCACACATTGCAGGTAAATTTGGGGCTTTGAAGGCCTGCCCAGAACTGAATTGCAGTTAACTGATGCCTTTGGTTATGGCTCCACAACAGCATCTTGACTGGGAGGAAAGACTTGGGGTGGCACTCACAGGGTGGAAAATGGAACACACACAGTTCCAGGCAGCTAAAGGGCAGGTAAACATAGGTAAACATGGAGGTTTGGGGGCCTCGGGATTGTTTTGATGAGCATCCCAGCCTCCTGGAAATTGTAACTTACATTTTCCAGCATTTTTTCAGAAACTGTAAATTACATTTTTGAGGGCTCATATGGCAGAAAATGTAAGTTACAATTATTGACGTCCCCCCCTATATAGGGATATTATAATATATATATATATATATAAATTATATGTGTGAGTTAATATATGCCAGTCTAGGTATGCCAGTCCCATTCCGCGGAGCCACCGCAGGTTGCTTCGCCCCGGCGCCGGCTTCGTCGGCTTCCCTCCGCCGCTGCCGGACGCGGGTGTGCCGTGCGTGCCGTGCGCGAACACGACGCTCGCGCCACGGGAGGAGGGAGGGTCGTTTTGGGGTGCCACGCATGATGTGTTCTGTTGTTTTTGTTGGCCAAAGTGAGCTTCCCCAAATAGCCAAACATGAACAGATGCAATTGGACACTAAGTTTGCCAGGGTGAGTTTCCAAGAATGACGAGATGCATGAGAGACAAGACTGATCGGGAATCCGGAGTGTCGACATCAACAACGTTCGGACTTGCACGAAGGGTAAAGAACAGATGAGAAGAGATGCATAAGAGCAGGCTGATTCATTATATAGTTGCTTGTAGATCTTTTAGGGTCCACCCCCATGTTTTACCTGGATTGGTGTGAGAGGTCCTGCATCATTTTTCTGGCAACTCCTCCCCCTCCGGGTCTTCCCCTGCCATGAGCGCATCGAATCTAAGGAGCCCTTGGCCAAGCAGCTCTGGCTCTCAATGAATCGTAGTGAGGCCAGATCTTGTCCAGTTGCTGGTTCTGCGGTCGGCAACGGGTATTCATGAAGGGCAAACGAACCATCAGAAGCCAGCATTTAAACCTGTTTAAAGTGTAAAATCATTGGAATCCTAATGACTACAGGACAAGTGACAAAGCGATCATGATGTGATGAATGCATATAAGAGATACTAATTGTTGCTTTGTTTGATCCCTGGCCTGGTGGCTGTCACATTTGTCTCATTATATACTGTATAGGATCCTATACAAAATGGTCCCTCTGACTACCTGGCTGTCCATCGCAGTCCTTCCTTGAAAATCTCAACTGATGACTCCTCTGGAACATCCTGGAGCAGTGAATCACCACTCCCCGGGCTCGATCGACGCGTCGGATCAACGCGACAGCGTCGCACGTCGAGTACCGCGGAGTACGCGGTGGAGCGGTCCACCGGACCGCTCCACCATGACCGGAGTGTCGGTCCGCAGTGCAGTTGGGCTTTGCCGGTGGACCGGACACGACGTTCTGCATGGGACGAAAAAAGGGGGCGTTGGGCGACCAAAAACGCGGAGGGCTGAGATCCGGCTGGTCCTGGATTTGGTGAAATTGGAGGGCGCCGGTTTTCGTGGCCTCCATACCATTCCATGCCTCAAAGAAGCCGGCATGAGTGCCGGCATGTCATGCGGATCACAGCGGGAGAGTGAGATCTAGACGGATGGATTGGGTTATATGGGGTTCAATGGCCAATCCTTGGTTTGGAGCCGGATCATCGAGCCACGGGGCGAAACGCGCCGCTTGATGAACCACTTGCACAGCTGGACCTGTCCCAGGTCGCTTGATGAACCACTTGCGTAGGTCAATTCTTCATTTGTCCAAGCTCCTCTTGAAATTGAGACCCCTTGCAGTGGTTCCTGGTCGAGTCAACCCCAAATTCCCCAACTAGGTCTCTACCACATAACTAATCGAATTAAACCGTTGTTTGTTTCTTTTTCGACGATAGTTGTCCTGGGAACCGAATGGAATTGGATGATCTCTAATTTGTTGAACATGTTTGAACAACTGAAGGATGGTCACCTGTTCAGGTCGGTTTTGGTTCCACGCCATCCACGTTGGCCCCATGATTCTTTCAGGAAGTGTATACATGTAGCTATCAGATGCTATCAGCAGTTCAGAAAAGCTCTCAGATTCGAGGTACTTCCTACACCTCACCCAAAGTATTCCTTCCACCTTGAGAGAGTCTTTCCCATGGGAAGCCGACCTGAGGATCGCCGCCGCCGCACTGGGCCGCAGCGGCCTGGTGCGGCAGTTGCTCGAGGCCAAGGCGGACGTGGACGCCGCCAACCCCAGCGGAGCGCCTTTTCCCGCAGAGGGACGAGAGCGTTTGGATGAGGGGTTTGGGGTCGGTGATTTTGGGGGTGTAATATACCTGCAGCACTGGTGCATTTCAGTCAAATGCACTGGTGCAACATGTTGCAACATGTTGGGAACTGGAGGGGTTGAACTCCAGAGTCTCAGAATGGAGGGCTTATTTGATAATCCCCAGCTGGGGGTAGGGAGAGCGAATCTCCCAAGTGCCGACTATGCTTTTGAGCAAGCAGGTGAAAGGCTTGCAAGAGGCCTCTCACAGCTGATTGGTTGATCAGCTGTGCGAGGCCTCTTGCTTTACTCCTGCCATATGGGTGTGGTCAAAACTTCGCAACCCTGGCTGATCCCTGAACAGCGAATAGATGACCAGACACGGTCAAGCGAACAGGCTTTGGAGCTCCAGGTTGAAAAAGCCAGTGGCACATTCTCTATCTATACATCCTCCTTACTTGTTGATGAAATGCAGATGCCCTGTGCTTACAAAATGCCATTTCCAGGGGTCATTTTATAGACACAATTCTATACTGTTGTGAGGAATCCTTGGTTTCGCTGATCGAGTGAGTGATGTGTCTTCCGGTGGGTGAATCCCCTTCTGGGTTTTCTCCAGCAATCATCCACACATGTTATCACTTATCACTGACGTTCTTTCTGAGTTTGGCCATCCACAGATCCATCAACATCCGCCCAGGCCACAGCGCTCATCGCCGCGGCCTTCGCCGGTGACGTGGCCACCCTGGAGCTGCTGCTGGCGCAGTCGGCGTCGCTGGAGCGCAAGACGCGGAGCGGCGTGCGCGCGCTGCAGGCCGCGGTCGAAGGCGACGGACCTGGTGGTGCTCGGATGAACGGACGTTGAAGGTGGCCAGAACCATCCAGAACCCATAGGGGCATAAATACGAGTATCTTTGTGTGCAGGTTGGATGGAGAATGACGGAGATGTGGTTTGCATTGTTTTGACATATCAACCGTTAAATTATGTTAAATTAATTTATTGTGTCTGTATGATGTTATGTTTTGTTGCTTTCGTGTGCTTTTGAACATGGGGTTGCAAAAGACGTGGCGCGCGATCGTTGTCTTGGCGCCAGAGTTGGGCCATGTGGGGAGCAGTCCTGCGCCTGTGGGTCCAGAGGCCCAGTGCACGAGATGCGTCCTGAGCACTGTAATTGAAATACTGAAGGATGGTAACCTGGTAACCTATTCTGGTTTGATATAGGTCGGTTTGAGGCTCTCCACTTCCTGGACCCATCATTGAAGTGGAGTTCACCACCTCTTTGGTTATTCGGATTTCATGGTCATCCTTTTGGCCATGCACGATTCTTCCAGGAAGTGTAGCTATCAGTTTATCAGTCAAGCCCTCAGATTCTACCTGCACATCACATGTCCAACACCCTCCCATCCACCTTCGATCCGCTCGAGCGACCGGCCGAACCGAGACCACGGCCTCCGACCGAGCGTTTCGACCGACCGGTGAGGCAATCAATCCGAAGCCGTGGAGCTCTTGTTGTCCACGGGCGCCGAGCTGGATGCTGCCGATGCCGTGGGCGTGGGGGGCCCCAAAGGAGTGGTAGCCGATTCCTTTGTGGTGTGAGAAGGGTGGGGCAGGAGTGGCTTCGAAGGTTTGGGGAGAATGCGACATGAATCTGACACTCGTTGATGGATGTTGATGGAACTCTTGCGTGCAAAATGTCAACATGCTATATTAGGATTTTTTTGAGAAAAGACTATCATACTGAAATACTGAATGATCTTAAAAGAGCATCAACAGCTGCAAGAAGTGCAGCTTTGCTTGAATGTGTGGTTCTGCCGAAGAAGCAGCCCGTGAAAACAAAACCCACAGGGTGCAGGTACCTCTTGAGGATTGAGGAGAGGATGATCTTTCGCTCGAAAGTGCTTACACAGGATGGTCTTTGATATATTCATTTATTACAGTCCTAAACCTGCTGGAGAATCTTTGGAAATGATCCAGGAAGACTCTGGACGCTTTTGGAATCGTCATCAATCAAAGCAAAAGAACACCAACAATAAAGGGAGACTGAAAGACCTGCACACAGTCTTTAGAACTGCTGCGAGCCCCCTTGCTCCTCCTCTTCCACCACCCGAGTTCGCCCAGGCCACCGCGCTGCACCGCTGTGCCACGGCGGGCCTCGCGCCGCTGGCGCAGCGGCTTTGCGCCGCGGGCGCCGCGGTGGACGCGGCCAGCGCGGAGGGCTTGACGCCGCTGATGCTGGCGGCGATGCGGGGGCATAGCCGGGGACGCTCAGATGGGGAGAGAAGTGATAGAAACGTATTATATAGGAGTCAATGAATGTTTGGATCTCAAGTGGTTTTCAGTTGGAGGTTTCGAGCTGAGTGGGTTCATCAGTGGAGTTGATGAAGATTTTTTGAAACATTCATCAGGTGGAGTGTGGGTTCTTCTTATAGGCATTCTGTCAGAAAGCCACTGGCTGATCAGTTTGGAGGAAGGTTACAACCACTATCGCCCGTATGGTGACAACGGGTTCTTTGGCTCACCGACCGACCAGCGAAATGAAGGGCGACCGACCGGCGACCTCGCCGTCCCAGGTGACGTCATGGCGGAACTGCTGGAGTTTGGCGCCGAGCTGGAACTGGAAGATGCCAAAGGCCGCCCGAACTGGATGACGAACGATTTGGATATCGATTGTATAATCACATGTATAGTGATATAATGGGATATGGGATATGGGGAAGATGACGGAAGAGTTGGATATTGATGCAATAATATCTATCCCTAGCGCAGTACCTAGCGGGGTGCCCTGTTTGGAGACCTGTTTACATAGTGTGGAGATATCCAGCCAGGTGACCCCGAACGCCCGCCCGCCCTGAAGCAGCTGGTTCTCATATGTATAGTGATGGGAAGACTGGGAAGAACGGAAGATGGGCGGACGATCGGATGATTTTTTGATGCCCCCCCTGGATTTCCGAAGATCATTGTTCTTTTTGTTTGGCAATTGATGGTCACATCCAGGCCACTGCAGTGATGATTGAACTGTTTGAACTGATGGGTTGATGTGGTTCACAATTGCTGTGGGTTGGTGGAATTGATTCCCATACGCTCCATGTACGGAATATATGCCTACATTGAGCCCGTTTCAACCACCCCAATGTATGCACATATTCCATACATGGAGCATTTGGGATTGGACTCTTGACCCTAACCCCGCAATCTCTATAGGCTGCAGATGTGACTCTTCACCTAACCCCGTTCAATCTCGCAAAAAACCGGAGCTCTTCGCGTGAACCGGAGCTGTTCTGGAGAGGACGACCGATCTATGGTTGGACCGATCGATCTGGTTGTCATTGGATTCACCAGAAGCTCGTTGATTGGTCACTTAGAGACTGCCAGAAGGATCCAAGTCAGGTTACTGACTTGCAAGAGTTTGACGTTTGTTTGACATCTTTTCTTGAAAGGAACACTTGAGAGAAGTGGAACATTTAATGCTGGCGTTGGCAGCCCCGCACTCTGAATCTGTCAGAAAGCAAACCAGATCGCCTGTTCTGTAGTTGCAACAGATGATTGCACATTGTACCCAATCAGAACTAGCACGGCTCAAATCACTCAAATCTCATATGTTTAATCCATTGACCTACTTAATTGAATCGAATTTAACTTTCATGTTGTGACAACATATATAACACTTTAATATAATACAAACACGGTTCTATAATTATGATTCTAATTACAGTATTTTTAATATAGAATTGCTATGAATTGCTCGTCAAGCTGCATTGAAACCACTCCATCAAGGACACCGGTGCTCCTCCCCCCGGTGCGCACGACGGGTGATCTCCTCCTTCGACGCCGCGGCCGCTCACAGGTGGCACGGCACTCTTCCAAGCAGCGAGGTGTGGGAGGGGTGGAGCAGGGCTGGATGAGATCCCTGAATGGTGGATGAGATCAGTTCTTGAGCTGACTTCAAAGCTCTGTAGTTCGTTTCGAGGTGGGAGATTTTAAATGCTTTTTGGGCTTGTAGCTTTAAAGGTGTCCAAACTAGTGTGAGCCTTTTGGGTGGCTGAGGGTTTCGTTGCAAAAAGGGGCTACAGTTTTGGACATGATTTCTCGCCAAGGTGCGTTTTCCATCGATTTCCTAACACCATCAAGACTCCTCAATATGCACAAGCTTCTTCAATATACTTTGGACATACTTTGGACATGTTCATTAGGATTTGCCAAAGACCACCGTGTTTGCAACCGTTGCAGAGATTTGATGGTCAGAGTCATAGTCATATTGGTAGACTTTGCAGAGGAACTTAGATCTAGTTTGTTGAGAACTGACCAAAGTTGGAGACCTGTAACCTGCAAGCAGGAAGATTTGCAGGCAAGCGGCAAGTCCGGCAAGTATCGTTGTGTTCGTGATTAATTCAGGTGAACAGAAACCACAACAACCATCCTCACGGAAATCCACAGCAGGATGAGTTGCAGCATAGTAAGGCTTAGTAAGGTTTGAATTCACATGAATTCACCTGTAATATAAGGGATCAGACTGCTTGATTGATCTCCTGTTGTGTGTCCTGCAATCGATTTATTTCTTTGTGCTTAACAAGGCAAAAAGGCGAGTGTTCTTGAAAGAAAAGTTGAGGATTGATGTCCCATTTTTTCGCCGACCCTGCAGCCCTTTGGCTTCGAGCCGAGCATGCTTGGCTACAACATGTTGCAACCAACTCAACCATATGGTCGGCAGGAAATCCCCACCAAGAATGTGCAAGCCGTAAGTTTCAGAAACAGATATGTTCCAACCGCACCTTTTCGGCAGAATATCAGGCACTGGAATTCACGAAATCAACTTGTTGTTTTCGGAGATATGGCGAAACTGGATCTCGCAGGTCTGGCGCTTCGGACAAGATGTTTCGGACGCTTCAAACAGCCCGACCGGTCCCTCAAAATAAGGATTTCAGACCCCAGACCCCTCCGATTCGGGCGCCATTTTCCGCGGATGGACGATGCTCCCAGCACAGAGGGCACCGATGAAGAGACCGAGTTGGAGACGCAGACGTCGCCGGGCGAAATCCATGGTTTAGTGGTTCCAACCAACCGGCACAAATGAAAGGAACTCTACCAGGTGTCGGGCCTTTGATCTCCGTGGCTTGACCCGACCTGTCCGAGCCCTCCATGGACTTGGACCGAGCCGTGTTTTGTTTGTGTTGGTTTTTCTCAGGGTCCATTCTCCACTTCAAGAGTCTTCAAGCTGGTGGTTCCCAATGTGTCTATGGTTTTTGCAGATGATGTGTTTGATTGTGTTTGTGTGCAGGGAATCCCCAGTTCGCTTTTGTAGAGCAAGATTATTTTGTTCAAAAAACATGTCCCGCACCTGTCTTACGTGAGGGTCTCTACGTGGGTTTGGGTGCACAGCAGACAGGATGTAGCGCGGTGCGCACCCCGTGCTTCTACAGTAAATTATATATGGGTCAATGATGGTCAATGTGTGGATGCCAGAAACAGATGTTGTGCAATAGTCCAGATCATTTGCCAGACAGTATGCAGTGTCCAACGACACAGGCCAGATTTCAACTGTCTTCCAGAAGATATGCCAGATCAAATGCCAAAGGACGCTAGAAATGTCAGAGTATGCGACGGCACGGAAGAGGGCACGAATGCCAGATGAAATGCATTTACATAGATTTGACAAGAGCAGCGTCTCAGGCATCACATTTGTGTCTCCTTCTTCCACATCTCAGCGTGGAGAGAATCCTCAAAGTACCCCGCTGAAGAGGACGGACCCTGGACAGTACTGCTTTGTAGAAGAAAATAGTCAGACTCAGGGCACCATTCTCAGGGTCCATGTCAGTTTTGGGGAGTGTAGGTGGTTGTGGTATGTTGTGATTGTGGTCGTGGTTGTGGCTGTGGCTGCGGCTGCGGCGGCGGCTGTTGTTGTTGTTGTTGTCGTTGTTGTTGTTGTCGTTGCCGGTGTGGGTGTTGTGGTTGTGGTTGTGGTTGTGGTTGTGGTTGTTGTGGTTGTTGTTGTTGTTGTCGTCGTCAGATCCAATGATCCCACCAGCTGGTGAACAAGTGGACGATATAGGGTGAACATCCTTCGCAGGTTGTGCCATCGTTTTGGCCAGATAACGGTTTCAGGTTTATGTTTCCCTGTTTTCTACCCAGGAAAAGTGGATAACCTCTTGGGGGATTGGTTTCCCCACTATATGGGTGTGTATTTTAATAGGGAGCCCTCCCAAAGACCACCAGGAAGAAGGAAAATACCAAAACCCATTGGTTGGCTGACCCCCTATTAAAATACAGACCCATATATCAAAATGTGTAAAAGAGTTTATATATATATATATTATATACATATTTATATCATATTTGTATAGTTTCCGAGGAAACTGAGGAGGTCAGGTATACTCTCCTTTGCTTTGGGCATGTTTGAACAAAATCGCTCGAAGCTGAGCCAATCCTAGGCAACCAACGGAGGCTTTGTTGCCTCCGAACGCGGAAGATCCGGAGGACGTGCTGTGGAAGGGGGTTGTTTGTAAACTGCAAATCAACAACTGGATTGTAGAGGATGCTTAGTCTTTCAGAGTATTCAGGCGGCCAGTTGCAGATTCTATCTTATCTAGGCAATTCAAAACGACGTCACCGACGTCACCCTGAAATTAACGAGCAAGCTGAAATTAAGTTATAGTTATGGTCATACTAACATCACACACACACACACGCAAAACACACACACACACACACTTCATCGACTTCACAGTCCTGGCAGAGATTTTGGAGGCGCGGGCGGGCGTGGGCAGGGTACTGGATCTAGGACTGGATTTGCATGGGGCAAGAGGATGTCAGTCAGTTTGAGTTTTGCTTGAGTTTTCGGGCTCGAGTTTGCAAAAAAAACTAAGAAGTCATGCCTCACCTGCTCACTCTCCACACCACTAAAAAACACTGCCCAATTTCGAGGTCAGGAAGTTTTGAAGTTCTTTTAGTTGTGCCCCATGAAGTGGCCCTCTAGCCATGATGAGTGCCCAACAACATCTACGGACCGCATTCGGCCAAGAATGTTCCCAAGCCCCAAAGCCTCTTAGAGACGGCGCATTCAGCCAGAGCTTGTGGACGAAAAAGATCCTTGGAACTTGAAATAGTAATGGTTTGGTTGTTTTCCCTTTCACACCCAACCTGACTGGTTCTTTCCTGGCAAAATCGTTTTCGGGCCTAGTTCGCCGAACTAGGATTTGAGGCCTGGCGGCCTTGAAAGTGGTTGTTGGGGCTTTATTAGGTTGTAGCTCGGCAAACTACGCTGGGAAAACATGTTTTTGGCTAGCTTTCCTTTGCGTGTTGTCAAATTTGCATGCACTGGCCAAAACATGTTCCCCCTTTGTAAGAAGTAAAAACGCCCTAGTTCAACAAACTAGGAATGAACAATTGGAAGGGAAAAAACTGATCCCCAACAAGGTTTTCCCTTCGTAGTAGAACAAACTACACCTTCAAAAATTGTGTTAACCACAAAAGACCCACTGAAATCGCTCCAGTTCCACTAACCAGAGCCTTCTCGCGCGCAGGTGGACACGTGGCTTCAGCTTTGGTCGCCCCTGGCTGGCCAGCGTGTTGGCTGGCTGGGGGCGTTAGGGCACACGACGTAAAAATAATTTCGTTATTTAGACGACGTCACTAAATTTAGTTTTGAAAATAATGAAAATAACCGACGACCCAGGAATTATTTTAAATTGCCCAGATCTTATAGTTGTTGTTCTTGTTGTTGACAAGACAAGTCCCTTTTAACTTTTTGCCTTGGTCGTCTCAAAAACGCTGTTGTGCCACCTAGGGTTATCCTGCTCATCTACTACCAACGGGTTTCCATTCAACAGCCCTGGCAAGGATGGTGGAGGGAGTTTGGGTGCTTTTTCCTTGTCTTCCTGGACTGCAGGACAAGGGGCTGCACCCGATGTCAGTCTCCCGGAGATGTACGGACTGGGGATGGCACTTGCCCTTCTTGGTGATGATAGCAGGGTCAGCGCTTTGGCGAATTCGAGGGGCGGCCTGGGTAGCACAAGCTGATGAGGTGGCTACAAGAACGGACCACACCACCGTCTGCAGACCAGAGGACCAGAATGACCAGTGGGAGGATTGAGGCATCAACAGATACATGCTTGGGGTTGGTGAGTGGTTGGGGCTCGAAGACATTGGTAAGCTTTCTTTCATGGACGTTGGCCATTCTACGTTTGCCTTCTATGGCTTCGGAGCCCGGACTGACTCCCATCAAGAGACTCGGGGTAGGTTCGTGAGTGAGAGTATGACTACAGTATCATTTTGCCCGGTGTGACAACTGCGACACAATTTTGACAAATATCCACATACACCCAATGTGTTTCCGATCAGTTAGCACTGCTACCACTGCGAAGTTGTGACTATATAATCAGTGGCAGTCAATGGCAGCCAGACATTCCAGGCTAGAGTCATTTGCACACTTATGATTGTTAACATGACCTTAGTCGTAAGGGACAGCGGGGACCTTGTTGTAGATCTTCAGTAGCTTTATGGCAGGTGCGTATGTCGAATTTAAACCAACTAGTGTTCCTTTCCGGGGTCATTGTCCACTTCCATGTGGCTGTGGGTCAACACCCGGAGCCGCCGACGCCTGTTTGTTTGACCTCCCCTCCCCTCCGTCCGTTGGAGAGCACTTCCATCACCGGTGGCCGACGATGTCGGGAACGCACAGGTGTGGATCACGCGCTACGCGCAACAGAACGCTAAGCCACGGGGGATCAATTGAGATGGATCGATCGATGGATTGGAGGGCAGATGAGTCGGTTTTGAGGGCAGATGAAGCGTCATACACTTTCATGAAAGGACTTAGCTAGGGCTAGGGCTTAAGATCATGAATCGTTTATAATCTTGAGATAATTTCCGGATGGTCTTTTGACACTACTCAATTTGAGGTTCATTGGATGATTTGGAAGATGGGTGAAGGGTCACTTCAATGGAAGTGAGAATTTTGCATGGACTCTTCTGGCACTCCAGACCAGACCACGCTTGCTCCCGTTTCATCCTATTATCCACCCAAGATATCCCAGTCCCTCCTGTGATTCCCACGAAAACAGAGTGATTCCCAGAAGCCCACAGCCCACAGCTGAGGATTGACAATATCTTCACGGCACCCGACTTTTTGGGCTACAAATGCGGCCAGATGCTCGGTGCACCCTACCCGTGTGTGTGGGTCGTTCCGACGCGCGGGGTGCGAGCCTGCGAGGGGAGGTGAGGGGGCGGACATCTTCTAGCAGAGAGACTACAATGGCTAGATGGATCAAGCACGAAAAAACCACACCCGATCCATACCCTGATCCAAGCGATTGCGTTCAAAACCCCCTGGGCCCCCTAGTAGAAAGAACATGAGCAAAATATGATCGTCATTTGTCGTGGGCAGCAGAAGGTGTTTGGAAGCGGGCCCTCAGTAGACTACGTTGATTCCACAAGGCCTAGGTTGGCGCTAGGTCGGTGCTAGGTTCTCTATGAAGATATGATATGACCACGATTTGCTGGTAGGTGTGTTTGTGTTGCCAAAGGATTTTGATTCTCCTTTTCTGTTGTGGACCACAGCTGTGGCAACGTAGAAAGATCCATACCAGGGTTTGTGGCCACGGCCACACACCTATATAAAAATAAACATTATCTGAGTATGACGTACTAGACTTAGGTAGTATGGTCAGATCCTCCGTGCTCGCAACACAAAATCCTTCAGTGATGCCCCAATCCAACCTCGAATCTTGGTGGGTTTGCCTCAAAATGGTCTAAAGAGTCTAAACCGTTTAACACCTTGGGCGGCTCGTCTCGTTTTGGAAGGAGTGCACAAATGTTTGAGCCCATCGAACCCGAAGAAATGTTGGGGTTTAGCATGGTTTAGCCTCACAAAAGGCGTATACATCTCCACATGATGAGGTGTTTTCATCAACTGTTCACATTCGTTTCACAACACCGCCATCGCTCATCACTCGCCGTCAGCCCAGGAAGTTTCGACCACATGAGCCCTACCTCTACTTCTGCATGGAACCGCCGCCCGTCCTCGACAGCAACGCCACGGACGAGGAGATCGCCGAGAGCGCCGCAGCGCGACGCTTGAACGCGCGCTACCCCATTTGTGTCAGCGACGCTTGGGCGGAGACAGCGAAGGACACCGAAGCAGAGGTGGTGATGGAGACTGCGAAGATCGTTGTGGTTGTGTTAGCAGTGGTTAGGAGGCCCTGCGATCACCGGGAAACCCTCAATTATGTTACCCTGTTGATGAATAAAACCGTCCATGTACACATGCCTTGAGAGCCATTCGTATCATAAAACTTTGAACCTAGGCTCTTCGTACTACTTTTCCTGAACTTGTATGTTTTTTCCTGAATTCGAGCAGATTTTGAAGGCTCGAAGGGTTTTTGGACATCGACTGGATTTCAGCGCGCTGGAGCAGCCTTTTGGGGTTCAAGCTTGGTGGGGTGCCAAGCCAGCTCGAAGCTCGAGCATATGGGGGACTACGTGCGCCCTTTCTTTCACGAATGCTCGCACATGCTAGCTGTGTACGCGCGCTTGTGGTTTTCCAGGTATGCGCCAACCGAGCTCTTCAGTGGGGTCATCAAAGAAGCTTGAGGCCTGGGCGCATCTGGGTGTGGGGGTGGTACCTCGAACACACCATGATGATGTGATCCCTGGGGTTCTGAATATTTTGTTTGGCTTTATCTAGAGCTCAGAACTGGCTCGAACCTAGCTCACAGTTGAAGACATGGTGCTGGCTGAAGGTGGGGATTGCCCTGTCATACGTGAGTGGCTGAAGTTGGAAGCTGTAGCTACCAGAGCTGCCAGCGGAACAATTGCGCTTGTCCGTGAAAACAACATTACTAGAACCACGGTTGCCGACAACTATGAACTGTTGATCCCCCTCGTGACTGCGTATGGCATCTTTCCCGCAGACCGGAAGTACATGCGCTGTTCATCGCTGTTCCTTGCAATCATGTCTTACCTAATATCTCAGAGGTTGCGGTTGAGCCAAAACAAGTGCCTTTGACCTGACGCCAAGGCATGCGACCAAGCTTGGCAATCCTGGAAGACTTGGTGGCTCGTTTCTTGTTCTACTGCAGGCCTCGTGGAAAACCTTTGTTGAAAGGCCGGTTAGCTTCTCATGCAAAATGAACTCCGATCAAGACATGCAAGCTCAGTGTGCTTGTCAACCGAATTTCATGGCACGTGTTGCCAGGAGATGAGGTGAAAACAGAGGCCTGGGTTCTTCGTAACATGGTGTCCATCCTGGCTGGAGCTGCAAGGCGTCCACATATTCCACGTAGCCATGAGTTCCGGGAGTTATTCAAGGCTCTTGGGATAAGCCTACCATCTAAAGATCAACAAGCTGATGCAACTGTTGATGAGGGAACTTTGGAGTGAAATCTTGAATTGTAACTGTTTTTCATCCTGCGCGAAGGAAACCATCAACCCGTATCCACCGACCGGCCCACCCCTTCGCCAAGGAGCTGTTGAGGATGAGTGTGAGGAGGGTGCAGAATCTGAGGCGGAAACGGCGGACCCAGCTATTGAAGTGGAAGAGGAGTGAATTGCCATCACGATGTTGCTCATCATATGCCATGCTTACACACGAGCTAGGTCCCAAGCCCTATACACACATGCATGAAAACCAGCGTCGGTCCAATCCCTGGTCAAGGAGAATCCTGGCAAGCTCCCTCCAAGCACAATGCCCCGAACTTCTGACGGGTCTTCTTCTTCGAAGAGCGCTGCCGCATGCAACTCGTTAGTTGATTTATTCGAGAACCTTGTTCCCTTCATGAGTGAAAAGCTTTTGCACTGCGGCCCTAGGTGTGGGTGACAGGCCAGAGCCTCCTCCACGACGAAGCAGCTTTGAAACGCTAAGCAGCTCTGAAGCGCTCGCCACTCCTCCGCCTCGTGGTGCTCAAGCTGCATGTGTTGGTTCCATAGTCTCTCTAGTCAAAACCATGCGCATACATGATTGTTATTACATGCCTGGTTTCAAACTAAGTGACCTTGCTTGTTGGACGGCTTAGGCACCTTCTGTTCCCCATTGTCTGGACCCAAGCAATCACCGCATGTGCCCGTCAAGTGTGGCTTCAAGTGCGTGGACTGCAAGAAGTCCCACATCATGAAGGACAACCTCCTTGCTACTGCATGTCAATTTCCATTCAATGAGGGGGCGCACAGACTAGTGAAACGTGGCTACATGTGCCAGCACTGTGAGGCCTTGAGCGATTGCCCAACTACCCTTTCGCAGGAACTATGCCCGAGAAAGTTGGACCTAGAGCCGGAAACATCACCGCCCCAAACCAAGGCCGAGACACAGTCTCCTGTGGTGGAGCAGCCTCCGCCAAAGCCTGCTGCGGTGGAGCAGCCTCCACCAAAGCGGATCAAGGCAGACTTGGCCAACGAGTTGGGTGCTCAAGAGGCTAGAATGACCAAGCTCTTGCTACTCAAGGGATTGCATGAGGAGAGGTTGCGACTACAAAAACTTGTTGCCCTCCGGGATGCCAGCAAGACCGGACAAGCCAGCTCCAAAGCTGCAGTTTTTGATATAATACGTGCCTTCATGTGTGCAATGTCTCAACAAAACAAGCGACACTTAAAATGTTATGTGAGATTGTCCTCAGCTGCTTCCGCTGAAGGTATCGACAACGTTGAGACACAGCCGATGGTGCCTGAAGAGGCCCAAGCCTATATGGATTTGCACACATCTTCTCGCAGTCAAGAGCCAGTTGAAAAGTCCCAAGTTTTTCACGCCTCATCACAGCTGGAAGATAGCAAGGGCCATGGCCTTGTGCGTCACAAGGCTCACTGGCGCTCAAACGAATGGCTGTCCATGAAAAAACTGGTTAAGTTGTGCGTAGTCTTGTGCGTGTAATACATGCAAGGCATGCATAAACACAAGGCCGTACCGCATATGTGTGTTCTCGAGGCTCTCGATGCTGGTTTGGTGGAACCTTCAACGTCTCCAACTCCGGCTGTGGTGCCTGCTGAACCTACTCCACCAGCAAAGCCTGACACGATTGGTGATGTTTTACCCGAGGTTGCAAAGGTTGAAGGCAGCCCTACCTTGTTGGATGATACGGGCCCAGAGCCAGAGGGTGTGACAAAGCCTAAGGCTGTGGAGACGGAACCTTGCATTTCACCAACTGAGCAAAGCAAGCTTACCAAGAACACAGATGAATCCGGAAAAAAAAGAAAGGGCCGGCCTCGAAAGGCCAACACCACAGCTGCAGCCAAGGGAAAAGCGAAAGCAAAAGCAAAAGCAAAGGCAAAGGCAAAAACAAGCAAGGCGAAGGCGAAGGCCAAACCCGCCAAAGTGACACCGGCAGTCAAAAGGAAGGCTTCAAGGTCTAGAACCAAGAAGACTTCTGCCGAGCCCGCTGCTAACACCAAGAAGCCAAATACTAGTCCTACCTCTGAGACTGCGCAACCGGATCAACCTGACCAGTCTGAGCAGCCCCAAGTTGAGCCAAACATGGAACTTCCTCAAGCTTCCCCCAAGGCAAAGGCAAAAGCGCGTAAGACTGCGAGCAAGACCATCGACAAGAAGCAGCAAGAGCAGAAGGAACGAAACGCAAGGAAGTCCAAGGCTTATCGCAGAGCGGTCAAGGCTGCCCAGGATGAAGGTAAGGACCCGGAGGTGTGCGCAGCTGAGGGGAGAAAGGTAACTCGAATCCGCTAGCGCTTGATTTTCTATTTTGGTGTGCGTGCGCATATGTGCCGTATGCATGCTTTGCGCCATGATCTGTGCGCTGTTCATCTCAGGCATATGCTGACACCAAGTGAGCTGTTTTCAGCGCACATGTTTGTTGGGTTGCTTGCAAGTTCAAGCAATAGGTCTGGCCCATAGTTGTCCAGTGGCTGGCCTTTAGCGTTTGCCCTGGATAGCTATGCATGTGCTTGATGTGGTTTGGAACACGTGAGATGAGTACGAATGGAACTCTTGAACACGTGCTTGGGGTTTCATAGCAAAGACCTTAGATGGATGGTTTTTGCTTCAGCTCAAGTGGAAAAAAGGTGCAATGCAACTTGTGTGAGCAGTTGGTCACGTAGCGTTATGCTGCATTGAGTTTGCGCGAGTGTTGAAGTGGATGTGCCTGACAGGCCTGGTGACTTCGATGGGCTGGAAGACTCGCGCCAGCATCAAGGGTACGACTGCCCCTCTTTGCTTCAGCGCAAGAACTTTAGAAAGGGAAAAAACAAAAGGACCACACAGTTCTGTATATATATATATATACCGGCCTTTATTGATCTTTTGCTTCTCTTGGTTGGAAACGACCACGCATTGGCGCATAGACGGTTCTTCTGGGTCATTGTGGATTCCACTTGCTTTGATAGCTGTCCGATAGCTCACTGTTGGCCCAGCACAGATCAATCATTTAGCTATATACAAACAGGAGTTGGCCATGATTGACCGCCCGTTGGTGAGATCCTTGTTGCAAGTGCGAGCCCCCAAAGTCTGGATCTCAATCGCATGGTACACCTGTGCGTGCGTACATGTGTGCATGGACCTACGTCAGTATTTCTGGCCTGGCAAGGTGTTCGTGGCTTTGGCCTGGGCCTTGATTCATCAATCAGGCTGTGTTCAGTGTATCGGTGCAATGTAGTCTGGTGTTCGCAATCCTCCACTCATGAGCAGACCATATCGACGCATGCTTAAGGTGCTCCTCCTCACCTTCAATTCGCGGCTCACGTTCGATGATCCTTCTAGGAATTACAGTTTCCTAGAGGTGTTCTCCGGAAGAGGGGAGGTGTCAAAACATATGTGCAAAGCCTAGCTGCATGTGCACGGTGATGAATTTCTAGTAACACGTAAGTCTAGCTATATCTTTCATGCAGACTTCATGCAGTATCAATGTTTGATCGAGGCACGAGCATGGCTATAAAGTAGCGTCCATTGACCTGACCTACACCGAGAAGCATATGAACTTCTTAGATGCCAACGGTTTTTTGCTTCTAGGTGGCGGATGCAGTCTTGATTTGTTTTAATCTTCCCTTTTCCGGTGATCTTGGGCCCCGCGCTCCCAGGCTGACAGTGTACACGATCTTGAACCAGCAGCGCCACGCCCTGACACTCTGGGCACCGGACTGCGGGAGTTGGGGGTTGCCAGCACGATCCA